GTTACCACCTGGCATGCCTCCGAAATAACATCCGAATTGATTACTTTCACCATATCCTGAGCTACCACCCTCTGGGTGTTAAGTCGTTTTAACTACTCGTGGTCAGGCTCATTCGTACTGATTGTCACTCCTGATTCATTCCTACAAACAGGGTGCAAAATCGGTGCAAGCATTCGAGATCCTGCCAAAGCCGACGGAAGGTCGCAAGCCAGACAACCCATGGCCTGAATGGCCGGTGATATTCAGAATTGATTACGGCCATGAAGAAATGCATATGAAGACTGGGAAAGATCCGCGAACGTATTCGATTTCCACAAAGGTTGGTTTTTTTTACAAATCACCGACATCTTACCTAAGGTGTTACAATGCAGTCGGGTGACTTATTTGTTTCAGGCTTTCTTGACTGCTGAAAATGCTGCTGGTATCAAGGTGGTTACAGGTCTTGAGATTGTCGAAGTTGAGTGGGAAAAGGATGAGAAGGTAGAGCATAATTTTCTCCTGACGAAAATCTTTTTTGTTATTCCCGATTGCCTGAAGTTCATATTAGGTTTTGCGTGTAATATTTCACTCTTTTGTACATTCATTTTATGAGACTGCATTAAGGGAGCCTGGAAACTGATAGAGAAGCCTGACACGATCCGTACTGTGGACTGCGATCTGTGCATACTTGCGATGGGCTTCGTCGGTCCTGAAAAGGTGATTAAAAGCATTGCCTCATGAGAATTACCAAAGCATGCATACTCTTAATTCTAGACAGTCATCGAACAATTGGGCCTCAAGTCCGACCCGAGATCGAACATTCTCACGCCAAAGGATAAATACAACTCCGATGTAGCCAAGGTAACTAATTGTTTTTGAAGGTGTGATGGAATCCACGAAGGTGGATAGGGAAGGCCATGAATCGCAAATTCAGCCAGTGGGGCTTGAAACAGCCTCATTTATTCAATTCCTTCCACTGTTCGCAATGAATGCTAAATTCTATGCATAAGAATGACGTCATCTTGTAGATAACGACTGTAATGTAAAACGTAATAAATATTCAGGTATTTGCTGCGGGTGATTGCCGCCGTGGTCAATCTCTAGTGGTATGGGCCATTCATGAAGGCAGACAAGCTGCTAGACAGGTAAGGCTATACAGCTGGAACGTCCATAAGTGATCATGCAGGCGATAAAGGCTTTAGCATTCAACGTTGATCAATCCGTGTTGATATGGGCCACGCATTAACTACCGTCTACCATTCGGAAACGTAATGGACGCTTGTCCGCAACTTGGCTCATACAATGACTAGCGGGGATAGCCAATATAATTCGGCAACTTTATCCTCCTAGACGATTCCGTTGCTAGGGAACCGACACTGGGAGGAGGGGGGAGGGGGGTGGAGGGGTGGAAGGCTGGAATGGACCGCGTGATATTCGATTCAAGATTCCATTCCTTATCGTACCCATTGTAAACGGCACGAAATCATTTGCCTCTGTAATGCTGTTTGCGCGCGCATAAGGGTTGTTTCTTAAACTGATTGCGGACCTTTGTACTTTATCTTCGCATCTCTTCGTATTTGAATGAGCAATAATCAACCAAAGGTTTTCATGTGTTTTACCGACCCGTCATATGAAACTTCTCAGAAACGTGAAAATATTTGAACAAGTATAGCAAAAAGATCCATCTGTGTGGCTGGTGGTACCATATGCATCACGCGGTTACACAACAAAGCCGTCTCGTGTGTTTTCAAATGGTGTACAGCGGTACTTGGACGCGTCTTCCGCCTTGCGGTAGTGAATTTAAAAGGTCATAACTACATTTATCATAGTTTATGTACAGTAGGTACACGGAAAATCCAGAAGTTTTCCATTGTCGTTTATATTGTTTGATCATTTTCAATGAAGCACAGGTGCAAATGGGAACCGAAATGAAGATCGATGTAACTGGCTTTGAAAGTAGCCTAAGACAAATCCATAGAAAAATATTGGGCGCTTTTCCAATAAGTGGGGGGGGCATCAAGTGGCTTCCCTACCCCCCCCCCCCCACCCACCCCTAGACTGCCTACACTCCCCCTGGCGCACCCTGGGGTTCTCGAAGTACGGGAC